GACTTTGCTTGCTCTGCTATGCGAACTTCATAGTTTCTTTTTGCTTTCCTAATCTCTTTTTTAACATTTCTAACGAGTTGTATGAATTCCTGTTCTAACCTGACTTCCTCATTCTTAATCCTTTTGTACCTACCAATTTCTCTTTTTACCTATAAGGTTCTTTAAATTATTTGTTATCCACTTTGGGTCATTAGTATTCGATCTATTAAATTTGTATGGTATACTACGTTCCTGTGCTTTGTTTAGAATATTCTTAAATAAGTTATATATTAAATCCACATCGAAATCCCCTTTTACGTCACCTGTCGCTGGGTTCTTGTCTCGCTCTAAGACCGGCCCACACCCCATACCCAAGACTTTCCAATCTATTTGACCCAAAAAAATTCTTAGGCTATTAAAAATCAGCTTTTCGAAAATCTGGCACTTTAACAGAATTTTCTCCTACAGGTCTATTCCATTCTATGCTAAATCTGATAACTTTGTGATCACTGTTCCCTAGCTCACTCCCTATTTCGATGTCATTAATTTGTGTTTCCCTGTTAGTTAACACTAAATCTAAAATATTATTTTCCCGCGTTGGTTCCTTAATGTGTTGCGTAAGAAAGCAATCGTTAATTAATTCTAGAAAGTCTTCTGCTTCACTATTCCCTGTTTTGTTCACCCAGTTTATTCCACTAAAATTAAAGTCACCCATGACATAAATTCTGTTAGATCTAGATGCTCTAGATATTTCATCCCATAGATGCTTTGCTTCCATTCTGTCTAAATTTGGTGGCCTATATATAGCTCCTATTATAATATTATTTGCTTTTTCGTTTAATTCTGTCCAAATAGTTTCTGTGTGTGGCTCAGTTTTGATTCCCTCTTTGAGACTACATTTCAAATTGTCCCTAACATATATGGCTACTCCCCCTCCTCGTCTAATATATCTATCTGTGTGAAATAGTTTAAATCCATTTATCTGATATTCAGCTAATAGTTCTCTATTTTCTGCATTCATCCACGTTTCGGTAAGTGCAATAATATCTATTTTTTCTGTGCAGACAAGAGCATTTATTTCATTAATTTTATTTCTTAGACTTCTACTGTTAGTGTAATATATCCTAAGTGAATTGTTATTTTGAGGCCCTTTTCTTTCCCTGATCATTTTGCCAATTCTTTTCTCCCACGAACACATACTTTTATTACCTCCTTCCTTCAAATCAATTCCCATACCACTATCTACTAACAGTTTAAACCCAAACAAACACCTCTAACCACTGGCTCCAACGAGTTCGCAACAGCAACAACCCCAGCCCTGGATAGATGCACCCCATCACGAGCATACATTTCATTTCTTCCATAGAAGTGTTCCCAGTTGTCTATGAAAGATATTGCATTTCATTTGCAATATCTTTCCAGCCGGCAATTGACACCAAGTGCCCTCGTTATCCATTCATTTCCCACTCCCTTTCTTGGAAGAATGCCACATATGATCGGGATTCCTCCCTTGCTCCTAACTAATTCAATGGCTGTTCTAAATCTCTGTCCTAAAAAAGTATCAACACAAGATAGAACACATAACAGTTGGTATAAATTGGATAAGTTTAGATTTAGGAAAGACTTGGGTAAATACTGATTCGGTAATAGGGCTGTTGATTTGTGGAACCAATTTTTTTTCCTCTTATTTTAAATTTGTCCTCCCCATAATCGTCCCAGTTGTCTGGGAGCCGGTCGGCCGAGCGGAGAGCACGCTGGGCTTGTGAACCTGTGGTCCCGGGGTCGATCCCGGGCGCCGGCGAGAAACAATGGACAGAGTTTATTTCACCCCTATGCCCCTGTTACCTAGCAGTAAAATTGGTACCTGGGTGTTAGTCAGCTGTCTCGGGCTGCTTCCTGGAGGTGGGGGCCTGGTCGAGGACCGGGCCGCGGGGACACTAGAAAAAAAAAGCCCCTAAATCATCTCAAGATAACCCATCTCTTCTCCTTTCTGACTGTTACTTCCTGCCGACTTTTTGCCATTCTTGATTACTCTTTCAGATGTCTTCTTTTGTTTTGACACTGGGTGTTTGGGGAGGCACACACTCACCCGTAGAACTGTGGTACCCGACATTGTAGAGCGAGGGGGGACGTCCTTATTGTCAATCTTTGCCTTCGTTGCTTAGCCCGATTTCGACGGACTGACGGTTCTTTAGACTAGAACTAAGCGACGGACTGCTTAGTTCCGATTTCGGATGGATCACTTGCGTCTAACTATCGGCCAATTAGCTTAACATCTATTGTGGGAAAGTGACTTGAATTGATATTAATTGCAAATAACATTCGTCTTGATCCGAAATCCTAAAGGGTTTAGAATCCGGTTCTCAAAGAAAACTTTCCTATCCAAACAGAAATTTGGGTGGCTTTCGGCAGCTTCACCTCTCCCCTTCTCAATTTGGTTTCCGCAAGTGCCGCAGTACAACAGCTGTCCTGGTGAACTTGGAGGTCTATATTCGTACTGCTTTTGCTGTGAAGACCTCCGTTGTTGCCGTCCTTTTTGACGTGGAAAAGGCTTACAACACTACCTGGCGGTATCATATTCTGTCTCAACTTCATTCTTTTGGCCTTCGTGGGAACCTCCCTCTCTTCCTCCGGAGCTTCCTCTCTCGTCGTTCCTTTCGTGTGCGGCTTGGTACTACTCTCTCTGCCCCTTTTCAGCAGTATGAGGGTGTACCCCAGGGTAGTGTTCTGAGCACTACTCTTTTTCTATTTGCCCTCAACGGTCTTCTTTCCTCTCTTCCTTCTGGCGTCTTCTCCGCTCTCTATGTCCATGATCTTACCCTTTGCTGTCAGGGTGATGATTCCCCTCTCCTTCAGCGGCGGCTTCAACTTGCGATTGATGCCGTGTCGTCTTGGGCCACCGATCATGGCTTCAAGTTCTCTGCGCCTAAGACTTGTGCTATGACTTTTACTCGGAAACATGTCGTTCTTCGTCCCTCTTTGTCGCTTTATGGTCATCCCATTGTGTAAAGGGATTCCGCGAAGCTTTTGGGGTTAGTCTTTGACACTCGTTTGTCTTGGTCAGCCCATATCTCTTACCTCCGAGTTGAATGCTCTAAGGCCCTTAACCTCCTTAAGGTTTTGTCCCATACTTCTTGGGGAGCGGATAGGCACACGCTCCTCTATTTGCACTCCTCTCTCGTCCTGTCTAAACTCGATTATGGTTGCCCTGCATACTCTTCTGCTTCTCCTTCTACTCTTTGCCGTCTTGATGCTTTGCACCATACTGGGTTGCGTCTCAGCTCTGGTGCCTTTCGTTCGACTCCCGCCCTTAGTTTGTATGTTGACACTGGTTTTCTCTCTCTTCAGGACCGCCGTGATCCCTACTGTCTTCGCTATCTTGCGCGGTCCTTCCAACGTCCTTCCTCTCGCCTCTGTCGTGCATTGACTTTTCCTCCTCCTGTGGTTCCTGTTCTTCTTCATTGTCTCCCACTTTCTGTCCGGTTATCTTGCTTACAGGATTCTCTTTCTGTTCATATTTCTAATGTTTCTCCTCACATTGTTTCTTCCTTACCTCCGTGGACAGTCCCCCCTTCCCAAGTTTTGTACGTTCTTGACTTGTATTACTAAAGCCTTTACCCCTCCTACAATTCTGAAAAGCCTCTTCCTTGAACACTTTTCTTCGCACTCCCACTCTATTTCCATCTTCACCGATGGGTCTAAGTCTGCGGACGGTGTGGGCTACTCTGTTGTTTTTCCTGACCGTACTTATATGTGTCGCCTCCCTTCGGAGGCTAGCGTCTTTACGGCAGAACTTTATGCTATTCTCTGTGCTCTTCGTCTCTTGCTTTCTCATTCTCATTCCTCCGTTGTGGTTGTAGTTGATTCTCGTAGTGCCCTCATGGCTCTAGGGTCCTTTAATCCTGTCCATCCGGTGGTCATCGAGATTCAACATTGGCTGTTTCTTATTTCTAGTAAATTTAAATCAGTAGAGTTTTGCTGGGTTCCCAGCCATATTGGTGTTTCTTTCAATGAGCGTGCGGATGCTGCCGCTAAGGAAGCTATCCGTTCTTGTCCCATCTCCCGTAAAGGTATTCCTTATTCCGACTTTTATCCTGTTATTCATTCCTCCATTCTTGCCCGTTGGCAGGGTTGTTGGTCCTCTGTGGTTGGTAACAAGCTGCGTACTCTCAAACGTAGTGTGTCCCCGTGGCCTTCCTCCTGCCACCGTAACCGGCGGTGGGAAACTGCTTTGACACGGCTGCGGGTTGGTCATACCCGCTTAACCCAAGGTCACTTAATGGAGCGCCGCCCTGCTCCTTATTGTCCGAATTGTGTTGTCCCTCTTACAGTTGTGCATATACTATTTGAATGTCCTGACTTCCAGGACGAGCGTGTGTCTTGCTTTCCGACCGTCCCTCGCGGTCACTTGTCCCTCGATAGAATTCTAGGTGAATCGGATACTTTTGATATCGTTCGCCTTAGGCGTTTTTGTTCTCGTATTGGCATTCTTGGTGATATTTAGAGCCCTCTGATTATTTCGCACTTTGATGGTGCTACATAGCCATCCAGGTTTGGTGCCTTCTTTTGATAATTACCTTACCTTTCGGTAGCTTTAGGTAGCTTTTAGTAGCTTTGTGTAGCTTTCGGTAGCTTTGAGTAGCTTGGGAAGCGTTGGGTAATTAGAAAGACCCCCTCGGTTGTCTTCCTCAGATGACCATGTCACCAGTATTGACACAGGCTAAACCTCGCCTGTGTGACTCCTGCAATTTCAGGATCAGGTAGTAGCAAGGTCGGCTAGTAATAAGGTGAGGTAGTATCAGGGTCAGATATTATCAGTGTTAATATCAGGCTGAAGAATTGAGCTAAAACTTTACTTCAAGAGCCGTGTGATGAGCGTGGCAGCACCCTGGGCCAAGCCTGACACAAGGTCCAGGAAACACTGTTAGATGAGTGGTCTCTCTCTCTCTTAGTGCTACCCTTTACACCATGATGCTTCGCTCTACAGTAATGCCAGCCCTTAACGCCCTGCTCTGTGTCAGATCCACGAGAGGAGGAACGCCAAGTCATCCTCCAGCACCTCCCACCACCACTACTTCAAGCAGCTGAGCACCCAACAGATGCTGCAGCTGCATCAACGCTACCTCCTGGATTTCCAGCTTTTTGGGTACTCGCTGGACGAGTACCTGCCCTTAGCTAGAGACGCGCCCGACCGTCTCCCGCCAGCTTCTTGACTACCAAATATTTCTTCTTCGCCGGTCAACGCATACAGTACTGTTAAGTAACTAACAATTAAATGGACAGCTTGATAGGAGCAGCTTGTCTTGTTGTGGATCAGGAGCAGGGACCATCGTGTCCCGGTGAGGCCGCAGGGGTTGAGGTTGTGGACGAAGCAGAGTTTGAAGGACATGAGAAATAAGGAACATTGCAGTAGGTCGACTGGTCCTTTTGAGATAGGTACAAATTATGTTAAACAGTTTTCACTTGTGTAACTTTCTATCCTTCATTAAAGCTGGTAAATTGTTCCCTTCATCTACTACCCTTTTACCATACCAAAATTGTCAACATCCTTTTAAATATGATTGTATGCTACTTATGGAAACTGTTAAGAGTACTAACTTAGTTTGGCAATTTCAAGACCTAGTAAATTTCCTCTTTGTAAATGGCTTTCACTCACTTGCGAGCTTTGATCAGATCTGGCAGTGTCCTCCGGCGCTCACCACGGGACACGTTACGGGTCTATGGTCCGTCTGCCGTAAGTGTCTTTATACCAGGGATAAAGTCCTGTGTTGAATACACTCTGGAAAATTAATTTCTCCTTTCTATAATATGTAGATTCAAACAGGAGAGCATGATGCGAGTGAGGTCTTACTAGTGCAAGACACTGCAGGAGTTACATTAGTGTTTGTTTCTAATGCTACTGCTTCTAGATGTGAAGGTTGGGTAACTATCAGCAGAAAGCACCAAGCCATTTCGACTATATAGCACTTGGAAGGGATCTGGATAAGGATTTGGGATGGGATGGGGGAAAGGAATGGTGCCCCCGTCCCATCTAAATTTCTGATCGAAGCGAGACTTTCCAGGACAAATGGTTCGGCACCATGCCTACCCTATAGTGAAACCTATTATCCAATTTTGGTCTAGTTCGTTCACTGATACATTGTTGTCTGGGTATTAGACTTTGCTGACCATTACCCATAACTCTTTGCAATTTGATTTAGAAATGTCGCTATTGTTAAGACTATACAGCGCCACCAGACCTCAGGACACTATATTATTCTGCGTTGAATTTCGTTAACTATTTTATGTCCAATTATGCAGCTTTTTTGGGTTTAATATATGTCCTCATAAATGTCCTGTTTTGCCAGTGTTTCTTTCAGTAATTTGCCTTTTGGTAAAACCCTCGTTGAATCAGATAATTTACCATCTCTCATATTTAGTCTTCTAGCTCTCATATTGCTCTTCTGAATATGTAGAAATACTATAATTTTCCGAGGCATAGATGGTGCTAAATAATCTTCCAGTTCCAGAACAGAGGGTTCCAGCCCTCTGTTGCTAATAACGTACCAAGATCTAATGGGAATTATAATGCCTCCTCCAGCACCATGGGTTTCAGATGTTCTGATAAACCTCTCGAGCATTATAATAGTGAAAGCTTTGAAAACATCAGACCTGGTAGTCACTGCTGGTGGTCTGTTCTTCTCTCACACTGCTGGTGGTCTGTTCTTCTCTCACACTGCCGGTAGTGTGTTCTTCTCTATCACACTGCTGGTGGTCTGTTCTTCTCTCACACTGCCGGTGGTGTGTTCTTCTCTATCCCACTGCTGGTGGTCTGTTCTTCTCTCACACTGCCGGTGGTGTGTTCTTCTCTATCACACTGCTGGTGGTCTGTTCTTCTCTCACACTGCCGGTGGTGTGTTCTTCTCTATCACACTGCTGATGGTCTGTTCTTCTCTATCTTATCTAAGCCATTGTTACGGGTTCTGACGTGGTCTGAAAACTTAGACCTCTCCCATATCTTCCCTCCTGATACTCCCTACCAATGCACACGAAGACCTCTGTCATCTTAACCTCCCCCTGAAGATGTCTCAGGGGGACATCTTCCATGTAACTGTCTCAGGGGGGACATCTTCCCCCGTAACTGTCTCAGGGGGGACATCTTCCCCTGTAACTGTCTCAGGGGGACATCTTCCCCTGTAACTGTCTCAGGGGGACTTTGTGAGAGTATGGTCTCTTAAGATTCTCCCACAGCTGACGTGAATGGCTCATTGCAGTGAACGGTGCACCAAGTCGTGCACAAAGCCCTATCTCTTTTACCCCTGGATGGAAACTGTCATGTTGGGTGTCCCCAGGATGCTTACTTAACCAGGAACACTTATATCATACGGAGGCCGCCGTATGTCCTTTCAGAAAGTAGATACAAGAGAATTAAGCATTCATGCAATAGAGTGAGGGAGTACACAGTTGAAGGTGCCAGGCGTGTGAGAGAGGGAACGCCAGCGAGGCGAGAGATAAGCTCTGACCTCTGGGGTCAATCTCAAGTCGGTGCAATAACGAATAACAACAGTGACGTAGTCGTGACGTGGTCATGACGTCAATCTTCTACCGATCATGTAACGATCACTTATCATTGGATCCGGCACCTTCGCTGCAACGCCATTGGTCACTTGGAAGACCTGGTGTTTGTGCCCAAAAGAAGCTTGCAACCCCTTGCAAGGGTATTCTTGTGAGGAACTCCGTACGTGGTTGACGTGTCCCTCTGTCTATCGGCCAGTAGACAGAACACCATCCGTTCCTCATCGTCGTTAAACTCTGCATTCTGCTCGATATACCAACGCTCGCACGGAATCGCGACTGTGACTATTTTTTAGAAAATCATCTAGAGTGGCAGACGTCTGTGACTCTCCTGAGCGAAACAGACGGGTATCAGGTAACACCTGTGAGACCGAGATGGTCTGTGAGTAAATCAGTGGTCTAAAGTGAACTAAGTGTCGCCGTCTGTGACTTTACCACAGTGTATCTGCATGGTACACTATAACCTTAGCCGCCGCCGGTACTCAGACCAGAGCGTGTAGCCAGCCGCCGCCGCCACTTAGTCCAAAGGTGTAGCCAGCCGAAGCCTCCAGCCGCCTGCCTCACTGTACTACGTGACACCACCGCCAGTGCCATCAGGGGCGTGTGTGTGTGTGTGTGTTAGGCATACAGCGCGCCCTCCTGCGAGTACCCCGCCGTGGTACTCGTGTCAAGTACAGTTTGTTGGGAAAACCTGTCGTCAGTGTTCTCACGTCGTAAGGAGCGAAACCAGCTATTAGGCCACCTACCCTACGAGGTCTTGCGTGAATGTGCATGAATGAGTGAGTGGAAGAGGTAGCCTACCTGTAAGTACAAGATCTTGTTTCTTTATTAAGTGTCTGTCTGTGTGTTGATGTGAGTGGTCAACCACAGTTCTCACCTCCTCATACCTGACACAGGTGTAGGTGGAGACTGAGACACCCGACGGTGTATGTGTGTATATCTGTGTGGTACCACGACATTACACTCGTCTGTGAATGTGAGCTTCACATACACCACATGTGTAGTTACTGTGTGATATTATTATTGTGTATGGTTACTGCCTGTCCCATTGACAGTGCCATTGTTAATTTATTGTGCATCATCATTACCCGAGTATCCTGTTGGAACTCCTGTGACCCTTTGTACACCGGCAGTTATGTTTGCCGTGTTAGTGATTGGCTGTCAATTGTGTTAAGTTAGGTGTTTCTCCACGAGTGAATGAGAATTGATTAGTCAGACGTCAAGAGTCTCGCTGATACGACCATTGCCTTGCTGACGCCAATCTAAAGTAAATTAAGCACCCATTGTATTAGTGGTTAAGTTTGTAAATAAACTGCTGTTAAGCTTTATGCAGTGTTTCTGTTGAACCACTTCTGAATACTGCCAACTATTACTTATGCCTTGAGCCCAGGTGTCTTCAACACCGAGTTGCCTATTATTTACTACACTATAAATGTGATGAGGACCCTAGGAGTCCCTTAAAGTGTTTCAAGCATTGAGGAAATTCCAACGACCAACGTGGACCAGGACCAGGTGACGCTAGTCTGAGAGGAGACGCTCAAAGACTCTAACTCGACCTTGCTGAGTTCCACCTGCGCTGCCGTTGAGTGAGGACGTGTCGCTTGACCGCTCCGGTAGTTTGGGGTAGTTGCCATTTTCGCCAGCAGGGGGTGTGGGGGTGTCTACCCTCCCTGCTGTTCCTGGTGGTGGGGACGTGGCGTTTTTTAGTTGGGCGGCCCTATTCCCGCTATCGTGCAGTTAAACTACATCGGATTGGAGTTTACTGGCCGTGCTGGTTACCCGCTGGTGGACGTGGTATTGAGTGACATGCTTCGAGGCCCGGTTCGGGACATATATGGTGTTGAGCTGGTCACTGCTCACCGTGTCATCAAGTTTGTGGGTGAGGAGGTATACCGTGCTTTTCTACGGAGGTACGAGGGACGTACTTTGCAGCTGCAGGAAGGCTCCGGGTCTGTGACCATTTCAGACCGTAGTGGTGCTGTGACGTATGTCAGTGTTCATGGCACCTCCATGGAGTTTCCTGAGACTCTCCTCCGGCGATTCTTCCAGAGATACGGCTCCGTCATCAGTGTGCGGATGAACTCACTGTCGTCTGGCACGTATTCGGGTGTGAAGACCAACATTCGGACCCTCGGGATGCGACTGAGGTCGGACATAGCGTGCTCTGTCCGGCTGTTGGGATACTACGTGCGGGTGTTTTATGCCCGACAACCCCGTACTTGCTTCCGGTGTGGCTTGTTGGGGCATCAGGCTGCTGGGTGTACTGCTGATCCAGTCGCTCCTGTGAACTTGTTCTGTGAGGAGGATTTCCCGCCGCTCCCTCTGGAGGAGGACTCCAGAGGGGTGAGGAGGTGAGCGTCCCGTTCGCTGCTGAGGCTCCCCCAGCGCCTCCCGACGTACCCCCGGTTGTCGCAGACCCTCCTCCGGATGTTGCGGTGCCGTCGGATGTTCCTCCTGACCATGTCTCTGGCCCTGCCGATCCCGTGGACCTTCCTGGTACTCCCTGTGGAGCATCGCTGTCTGCTTCCTCGTCTTCGGATGCGGATCCTGGCCCTGCGTCCTCCCCTCGGGTCCCTGCTGTGCTGGGTGCTGGGGTGGCTGCGGAGCCTCCTGCTGTGTGTGGTCCGGTTCCTCCTGTGGAGGCTGCTGCCGTTCTGCGTCGGGCGTCGGTTCGTCCGGCTAGTGGTGCCCGTGCTTCTGGATCTGCTTCCGGCTCTGACGATATCCGGCCGGAGCCCAAACGTTCCAGGCGTTCGTCTACGGCCTGGGCTGATGTTGGGGACTTCAGTGACTGTGGGTCTTCAGGTGTTGACGGCGTGGCCCCGGATGAGTCGTTGTCTCCACGTTGGTGGTGGCGGAGGTACATGTGCCTGCTGGGGCTGGTGCCTGTGTCTCGGGTGTGCCTCCTGTTCCTCCCCACCCCCCCCCCACCCCCGGGGGCTCTCCACAGTGGGGTGTGGTGGCTTCCGGTGCCGGGGATGGTGAGGATGCTGGTGCTGGGCGGGGCCTGGTGGTGACTTTGAGAAAGGATGCGCGCCGCCATGGTTCCCTGCAGTCGTCTGGTGGTGTGCCCGTGGCCGCTAGTGCCCCTGTGGTGGTGCCCTATGTCCGGCCCCCTACTGTGGATTACCTGGAGGCCTGGGTTGCCGAGTTCCTGCTGTCTGAGAAGCCGGAGGACTTTTCTGATGAGCGGGTTCCTGGTGTATGGGATAGGGTGGCGGTTACTCGCGTCCGGAGGGACACCATATGGGTTCCCTGTCTGCGAGTGTTTGTTGCCGGGGTTCCGCTTCACATGGCGCCCCCGGTGGTGGGTCAAGCCTCTTGAGGGAGGTGGCTGATTTGGGAGGCGTTTAATGTGCGGTATCCCCATTCCCGGGCACTTAAGTAAGCTGATTTTACTTTGACATGTGTGTTATCCTTCTGCATTGCTCGCATGTGTTTTTATTCTTAGCTTGTTGTGTGTTGTGCGATTTTCTTGTTTTGTTTCATGATGTCCTTTATGTTGTGTTTTGTTCTCGGTCCTTCAGGCCGATGCGTGTTTGTTGTTGTGTATGTACCTATGTTTATTTTCTGATCTGCGTGGGTTGCTTGTTTATTATTGGTTTGTTGTGGGGCGGTGGGTTTGTTGCGGGGCGGTGGGTTTGTTGCGGGGCGGTGGGTTTGTTGCGGGGCGGTGGGTTTGTTGCGGGGCGGTGGGTTTGTTGTGGGGCGGTGGGTTTGTTGCGGGGCGGTGGGTTTGTTGTGGGGCGGTGGGTTTGTTGCGGGGCGGTGGGTTTGTTGCGGGGCGGTGGGTTTGTTGCGGGGCGGTGGGTTTGTTGCGGGGCGGTGGGTTTGTTGCGGGGCGGTGGGTTTGTTGCGGGGCGGTGGGTTTGTTGCGGGGCGGTGGGTTTGTTGCGGGGCGGGGGGTTTGTTGCGGGGCGGTGGGTTTGTTGCGGGGCGGTGGGTTTGTTGCGGGGCGGTGGGTTTGGTGTGGGTGTTTTTATTCATGTCTTGTTTCTGTGCTGTACGTTTGTGCTGGTGTTTTAATTATTACTTTACATGTTGTACTTGTTTATTATTTTGTTTTTTGTTTTTGTTGTGTATTGTGCTTGTCCTGTTATGTTTTCTGTTGTGCATCTTGATGTTTGTTTTGTTTTATGATGTTTTGTTTTGAAATGTTACTGTGCTTGCTTGATTGACAATTGTTTTCTATTTTGTGTCTTGATGTCTGTGTTTTTCACCGCATTTATCGTGTTTGTATTTTGTTGTACTGAGCTGTCGGCCCTTCTGGCCGGTGGTCTATTGTTATGTTTTCTGTGTGTTTTCCCGTTTTTATTATATTTAAATTGCATGCTTTGCATGTAAAATTAAAAAAAAACTCGACCTTGCTCCCAGGCCCTGTACGGTTGCTCTCGTATTTTCTCTGCTGGATTCCGAGTGTTTCGTGAAGCGTCTGCCACATGTACATTGATGACGTACGCATTGCTGGCAGGAAAGCAAAGCAGACAACCCCGCAGACAACTTCCCTTGTAACTGTCTCATGGGGAATTCCTCCTCCTGTAACTGTCTCATGGGGAACTCCTCCTCTTGTAACTGTCTCATGGGGAACTCCTCCTCCTGAAACTGTCTCATGGAGAACTCCTCCTCTTGTAACTGTCTCATGGGGAACTCCTCCTCTTGTAACTGTCTCATGGGGAACTCCTCCTCCTGAAACTGTCTCATGGGGAACTCCTCCTCTTGTAACTGTCTCATGGGGAACTCCTCCTCTTGTAACTGTCTCATGGGGAACTCCTCCTCCTGTAACTGTCTCATGGGGAACTCCTCCTCTTGTAACTGTCTCATGGGGAACTCCTCCTCCTGTAACTGTCTCATGGGGAACTCCTCCTCCTGTAACTGTCTCATGGGGAACTCCTCCTCTTGTAACTGTCTCAAGGGGAACTCCTCCTCCTGTAACTGTCTCATGGGGAACTCCTCCTCCTGTAACTGTCTCATGGGGAACTCCTCCTCCTGTAACTGTCTCATGGGGAACTCCTCCTCCTGTAATTGTCTCATGGGGAACTCCTCCTCCTGTAACTGTCTCATGGGGAACTCCTCCTCCTGAAACTGTCTCATGGGGAACTCCTCCTCCTGTAACTGTCTCATGGGGAACTCCTCCTCCTGTAACTGTCTCATGGGGAACTCCTCCTGTAACTGTCTCATGGGGAACTCCTCCTCCTGTAACTGTCTCATGGGGAACTCCTCCTCCTGTAACTGTCTCATGGGGAACTCCTCCTCTTGTAACTGTCTCAAGGGGAACTCCTCCTCTTGTAACTGTCTCAAGGGGAACTCCTCCTCTTGTAACTGTCTCATGGGGAACTCCTCCTCCTGTAACTGTCTCAAGGGGAACTCCTCCTCTTGTAACTGTCTCAAGGGGAACTCCTCCTCTTGTAACTGTCTCATGGGGAACTCCTCCTCCTGTAACTGTCTCAAGGGGAACTCCTCCTCTTGTAACTGTCTCAAGGGGAACTCCTCCTCTTGTAACTGTCTCAAGGGAAACTCCTCCTCTTGTAACTGTCTCATGGGGAACTCCTCCTCCTGTAACTGTCTCAAGGGGAACTCCTCCTCTTGTAACTGTCTCAAGGGGAACTCCTCCTCTTGTAACTGTCTCATGGGGAACTCCTCCTCCTGTAACTGTCTCAAGGGGAACTCCTCCTCCTGTAACTGTCTCAAGGGAGACATTTTCCCCGGCTGATCTCCCTCAAAACGAATATAGACTAATTTGTATTTATTTATACATACAAGAGTTCTTACATTCTTGTAAAGCCACTAGCACGCGTACCATTTAGCACGGGTCCTTAAACTTAATTTTCCCTGTAATACGATCCGAAAATTGGTTGAAGAACCAGGCATGATCATCACCCCCGGGCCAAGACACGGGTGCTCATCACCCCCCGGGCCAAGACACGGGTGCTCATCACCCCCCGGGCCAAGACACGGGTGCTCATGACTCCCGGGCCAAGACACGGGTGCTCATCACTCCCGGGCCAAGACACGGGTGCTCATCACTCCCGGGTCAAGACACGGGTGCTCATCACTCCCGGGCCAAGACACGGGTGCTCATCACTCCCGGGCCAAGACACGGGTGATCATCACCCCCGGGCCAAGACACGGGTGCTCATCACTCCCGGGCCAAGACACGGGTGCTCATCACTCCCGGGCCAAGACACGGGTGATCATCACCCCCGGGCCAAGACACGGGTGCTCATCACCCCCGGGGCCAAGACACGGGTGATCATCATCCCCGGGCCAAGACACGGGTGATCATCACCCCCGGGCCAAGACACGGGTGCTCATCACTACCGGGCCAAGACACGGGTGCTCATCACTCCCAGGCCAAGACACGGGTGCTCATCACTCCCGGGCCAAGACACGGGTGCTCATCACTCCCGGGCCAAGACACGGGTGCTCATCACTCCCGGGCCAAGACACGGGTGCTCATCACTCCCGGGCCAAGACACGGGTGCTCATCACTCCCAGGCCAAGACACGGGTGCTCATCACTCCCGGGCCAAGACACGGGTGCTCATCACTCCCGGGCCAAGACACGGGTGCTCATCACTCCCGGGCCAAGACACGGGTGATCATCACCCCCGGGCCAAGACACGGGTGCTCATCACCCCCGGGCCAAGACACGGGTGCTCATCACCCCCGGGCCAAGACACGGGTGCTCATCACCCCCGGGCCAAGACACGGGTGCTCATCACCCCCAGACCAAGACACGGGTGCTCACCTAGTTGTGTTTGCGGGGGTTGAGCTCTGGCTCTTTGGTCCCGCCTCTCAACCGTCAATCAACTGGTGTACAGATTCCTGAGCCTACTGGGCTCTATCATATCTACATTTGAAACTGTGTATGGAGTCAGCCTCCACCACATCACTGCTTAATGCATTCCATTTATTAACTACTCTGACACTGAAAAAGTTCTTTCTAACGTCTCTGTGACTCATCTGGGTACTTCCACCTGTGTCCCCTTGTTCGTGTTCCACCCGTGCTGAAGAGTTTGTCTTTGTCCACCCTGTCAATTTCCATGGGAATTTTGTAGGTGGTTATCATGTCTCCCGTTACTCTTCTGTCTTCCAGGGACGTGAGGTTTAGCTCCCTTAGCCTTTCCTCGTCGCTCATACCTCTCAGATCTGGGACTAGTATGGTTGCATACTTATAAATCTTCTCTAACTTTGTCTTGTGTTTAACTAGGTAAAGGACTCCAGGCTGGAGCTATATACTCCAGTATTGGTCTGACATAAGTGGTATATAAGGTCCTGAACGATTCCTTACACAAGTTTCTAAAGGCAGTTCTTATGTTGGCCAACCTAGCATATGCCACTGATGATATCCTTTTGATGTGGGCCTCTGGGGACAGGTCCGGTGTGATATCAACCCCCAGATCTTTGTCTCTATTTGACTCTTGCAGGATTTCACCTCCCAGATGGTACCTTGTGTTTAGCCTTCTGCTCCCTTCGCCTAATTTCATTACTTTACACTTTCAGGAGTTAAATTTTAGTAGCCATTTTCTAGACCATTCCTCCAGTTTGCCCAGGTCGTCCTGTAGTCTCTGACTATCTTCATCTGTCTTGATTTTTCTCATAATTCTTCAGCAAACATTGAAAGGAATGAGTCTATACCCACTGGAAGATCGTTTACATATATCAGAAACAGGATGGGTCCAAGTACAGAGTCCTGTGGGACTCTTTGTCATCAAGTCATCTTTGAGTTATATTTTTGTCTTGTTGATTTTCTTTATATGTCATTATATATATCGTCCTTCAAACTGTAATATTTCAATGTATTAATTTTATATTTATATTTTACAGTTGAACATTTGTTCATTCCAGGAAGAACAAAGCTACACACTCTCCTGTCCTGCTGTACCAGAACAATTACTTTGCATTACATTAATTGTATTGTGCTAACAGCTCCATCCTGCAGGCACAAATAGTAAATACATACAACCACCCCACAAACAACAACAACAACAACAACAACATCAACAACAACATCAACAACAAAGAAGTCAATAATAACACAACAAAAATTCAACTGTTTATTTACATCAATGCCAATGTCAACAGTACTCACTGTTGATATTGTACTGGAGTATCTCCAGTACTCACTCAGTGATGAGTACCTGGAGGACGCTACCCAGCACCTCTCCAGTACACACACACACACACACACACACACACACACACACACACACACACACACACACACACACACACACGAAGAATTACAAAATCAAATATATAAATGGCATTATAAAGTTAAATTAAATCAACAATTATGTGAGTTACCCATATACACAGGCGGGGTCTTGTTGAGTCCCTCCTGAAGAAGAGTGCCCAATGTTTATGAGGACGGCGCCGCCCTCCTCGTAAACATTGGGCAAATAATTCTTAATCCAGCAGCCAAACGCTTTGTTTATGAATGCAAAACATATAGCACATGACTTGTCCTCAGGCTAGGCTCGTTAAAGCTGACGACCTCTATTGCCTCACCACATACGTCAAAGACAAATAATCGCTTAGCTAACCTAACTTATGCCTAACTGTACATAGAACTTTAATATATAATGATATAATTGTTTTAAATGAGAACAAACCTATTTATAACACACAATACGTTAACTGTGACGCATGCGTCTTCGGGTTGGGCCAGTGGAGGGAGGAGACGTGGCCACCAGAGGACGGGCTGAGGTCTGGGGCCAGATTCACGAAAGCACTTGCCCAAGTACTTACGAACGTGTACATCTTTCCTCGATCTTTGACGGCTTTGGTTACATTTATTAAACAGTTTACAAGCATGAAAACTTCCAATTCAACTGTTGTTATTATTATAAACAGCCTCCTGGTGCTTCGGAGCTCATTAACTGTTTGATAATTGGAAACAAAGCCGCCAAAGATTGAGAAAAGATGTACAGGTTCGTAAGTGCTTGCGTAAGTGCTTTCATGAATCTGGCCCCTGGTCGTTTCTCAGGAGCCATGATTCTCTTACACTAATTCGCTCGTCTAGTTTGCTGTTGGGTTGAAAGTCTTGCGCCCACTGGAGGGTTATTAAGACCACCACGATATCCTATAATCCAACCAGCCAATATACTTGAGGCCGAACATCTTCCAGGACTAAGGTATACTTAGTGTATATCAAGGTATACCTTGATAGAGGTATACCGCCTGTCATCTCGTCCACGTTAGCTTCGGCGTAATACTTATAATGGTCGTTTAGGTTGAGTTGTTCCGCGTGGAGACCATTCTGTACTCTACGGTAGACTGAAGGCGACTTCGTGGCTAGTTGAAGAACTTCTTAAGACCGGACCAAACGGCTCTACGGTATTTGACGTGTAAAGTATATTACAAAAACGTGAACACACTCGATCACGGATAGTGTCAACAGTTAGCATTGTCCTAGACCTTGCACAGGATGTCATTTAGTTCACAGAACACATTGTGCACTGTTGTACATTTATAATTACTATAAATTGTAAGTAGAATACTTTCAGGAAATTTAGAACAATTTCCCATGAAGACACTTTAAAAATTAATATATATGAGGCACAATATTTTTCTCTCTCTCTCTCTCTCTCTCTCTCTCTCTCTCTCTCTCTCTCTCTCTCTCTCTCTCTCTCTCTCTCTCTCTCTCTCTCTCTCTCTCTCTCTCTCTCTCTCTCTCTCTCTCTCTCTCCTCTCTCTCTCTCTCTCTCTCTCTCTCTCTCTCTCTCTCTCTCTCTCTCTCTCTCCTCTCTCTCTCTCTCTCTCTCTCTCTCTCTCTCTCTCTCTCTCTCTCTCTCTCTCTCTCTCTCTCTCTCTCTCTCTCTCTCTCTCTCTCTCTCTCTCTCTCTCTCACTAGAAGACGGCGACGAGGTTGTTCTTGAAGTCTGTGACGACCACATCCAGGCCCTTGGAGAGCCCCACCCCGGACACCCACCCGAACTCTCCCCGGCTGTTGCTCCTCGTCCCCAGATACCTGCAAGAGAAGTGTGACTGTAGTACGGTGCGGGGGACACACCACACCCACAGTGTGGCTGTAGTACGGGGCGGGGGGGTACACCCACAGTGTGGCTGTAGTACGGTGCGGGGGCCACACCACACCCACAGTGTGGCTGTAGTACGGTGCGGGAGACACACCACACCCACAGTGTGGCTGTAGTACGGTGCGGGGGACACACCACACCCACAGTGTGGCTGTAGTACGGGGCGGGGGGGTACACCCACAGTGTGGCTGTAGTACGGTGCGGGGGCCACACCACACCCACAGTGTGGCTGTAGTACGGTGCGGGAGACACACCACACCCACAGTGTGGCCTCAAGGGCTCACTGTGAGCACAAGGGCTCACTGGTTGGAAATGCTAATACCAAGAGGTTTGGACTTCACAGGCGAGAGCTGCTGGCGAGATACTGGACTTGCAAGACCAACATACCTGCAGACCAACATACCTGCAGACCAACATACCTGCAGACCAACATACCTGCAGACCAACATACCTGCAGACCAACATACCTGCAGACCAACATACCTGCAGACCAACATACCTGCAGACCAACTTCCACCGCTCATCGACCCGATTGGCATCTGGTCGCTTGAGATGTCCACCAGTGATGTGGGTATTTATTTATTTGTTTACATTGTTGAATGTGCATAATTTGATTGTTTAATTTGTTTCCTTACAATAGAACGAGCATTAAATTGAACATCTTTCCGGGGATTTAGTTTTGCTGTCATATATATATTCACAAGAACGGAGTTTGTGGAGACGTTATTCACTCAAGTATTACCACCTGCCAGCAGGAGGAGACCCACCTGCCAGCAGGAGGAGACCCACCTGCCAGCAGGAGGAGACCCACCTGCCAGCAGGAGGAGACCCACCTGCCAGCAGGAGGAGACCCACCTGCCAGCAGGAGGAGACCCACCTGCCAGCAGGAGGAGACCCACCTGCCAGCAGGAGGAGACCCACCTGCCAGCAGGAGGAGACCCACCTGCCAGCAGGAGGAGACCCACCTGCCAGCAGGAGGAGACCCACCTGCCAGCAGGAGGAGACCCACCTGCCAGCAGGAGGAGACCCACCTGCCAGCAGGAGGAGACCTACCTGACGAAGTTGCCGTTAGGTCTGAAGACTTGCACGCGGCCGTTGCCAGAGTCACCCACCAGGATAAATCCCTCGTGGTCCACCACAATGCACTCGGGGGTCTCGAACTGGCCCTTATGGCGGCCTCGGGAGCCAAACATCAGCACCCTCTCACCACTCGTGCCGTTGAACACCTGTGGAAGGAGGCAACTTGAACAGCTTGTACGGTGAACACGTTCATAGGTCACTGGGGGACCACTTCCCTTGCGGGAACACTAACAAAGAGAAACGTTAGTTTAAAGTTGATTCGGAGTGTAATTGACGTCGATTTAACATTTAATTAACGTATTGTGCGCACACGTATGGTAGTGTCTCGTTGGTTAACACGCGTACTGGGCCTAGTACTGGGCCAAGGCGGCCCTCGTCCCGCTCACTACACGCACGCTGGCCCCACAGTCTTCACCCCAATATTTAAATATGACCATCGCATCATTGTTCTATTAATGTGCCTTAGTCCGTTAGTTACCTAACAATTTTAACTAAATCTTATTTATCTTGAGGTGACCAAACCTGGCTTATGTGATCTAGTCTGACTACAAGTGACCCAACTCGACCTATGGTGACCAGGCCTGACCTTAGATCAGCCAGCCTGACTTCAGGTGACTCAGTCTGACCTCAGGTGACTCAGCCTGACCTCAGGTGACTCAGCCTGACCTCAGGTGACCCAGCCTGACCTCAGGTGACCCAGCCTGACCTCAGGTGACCCAGCCTGACCTCAGGTGACCCAGCCTGACCTCAGGTGACCCGGCCTGATGGGTCAAATACTTACTTTAATCCTGTGGTTGCCAGAGTCGGCCACATACACCCTGGAGCCGTCAAGGCTGGCGGCTACTCCCGTGGGCTCGTTGAACTCGCTCTTGGTGTAGCGGCGGCCGTCCTGCAGAGTCTGCGACGACACGACGCCCACCTCCCGCAGGAACACTCCGTCACCGTCCAGAATCTGGCGCAGGGAGGCGTGAGGCGTGAGTGAGAGCACCTACTCACCTGTCATCAACACCTTTACATGGCCAATCTCGAACTTTTAAACTTAAATGTAGAAACAAGCAGATTTTTACCATTATTCTGTATTTTCAATTTCAGATTTATTTAACAAAAAACTCTTATAATGAGAGGCGCGTGGTGGGGTAGGGTGAGAGATGGGAGGTATCGGGCACTGCACCACCTGACCACCACGTGAAAGGCGGGTCTGCAGAGCTCTAGCTTGACTATGTAACCAGAAGGGTTTTGATTGTTGCCGCTAGTTTATTGTGCACCCCATACTCATCCTGTGAGCGGTAGCGCAAAAAGCATTACAGAGGGCACGAAAGGTCTTTATCAGACCTCAACGGTGATTATTACATGAACAATTTCATCTATCCTTCACACCTTGTAATTACTGGCAAAAGTTAGAACATCATTCAGAAACCTAAGTAAGGAGGCATTTAGGGCGCTTTACACTGCCTACGTAAGGCCAATCGTAGAGTATGCCGCCTCATCATGGAGTCCCCACCTGAAGACGCATATAAGGAAACTGGGAAAGGTTCAGAAGTTTGCAACGAGACTCGTCCCAGAGTTACGAGGGATGGGGTATGAGGAGCGCCTGAAGGAATTGAACCTTACGACACTAGAAAAAAGAAGGGAGAGGGGGGGATATGATAGGAACGTATAAAATACTCAGGGGGATTGACAGAGTGGACAAAGACGAAATGTTCACACAGAATAATAACAGAACGAGGGGACATGGGTGGAAACTCAGATGAGTCAGAGATGTTAGGAAGTTTTCTTTTAGCGTGAGAGTAGTGGGAAAATGGAATGCACTTCAGGAACAGGTTGTGGAAGCAAATACTATTCATAATTTTAAAACTAGATATGATAGGGAAATGGGACAGGAGTCATTGCTGAAAAACAACCGATGGCTCCAAGAGTCGGTGCTCAGTCCTGCAGGCACAAATAGGTGAGTACAAATAGGAGAGTAGACACACATACACACACACACACAGAGTGGCTCATTTAGGCAGAGGTAACGCATAAGGGATATCTTGACACACGCACACAAGTGTGCACACGCTAAAACAGACACACACGCGTGCACACACACACACAATTGTCCAGTCAGGGGAAAAGGCATCTGGGATAGGACCTTACTATCCCCCCCCCCCCATCTTGCATCTTGACTGCACCATCGGACCTGACCTGACTTAGTCGCCATCTCCCCCCCCCACCCCCCCCAGTCCCCCGCATCGCCCATACACGCACTCTTCCCCTCCCCACTCTCCCTCTCTCCCACTCCCTCTCTCCCTCTCTCCCCACTCTCTCCTGCTCTCTCTCTCTCTCTCCTGCTCTCTCTCTCTCTCTCTCTCTCTCTCTCTCTCTCTCTCTCTCTCTCTCTCTCTCTCTCTCTCTCTCTCTCTCTCTCTCTCTCTCTCTCTCTCTCTCTCTCTCTCTCTCTCTCTCTCTCTCTCTCTCTCTCTCTCTCTCTCTCTCTCTCTCTCTCTCTCTCTCTCTCTCTCTCTCTCTCTCTCTCTCTCTCTCTCTCTCTCTCCCTCTCTCCCTCCCTCCCCCCTCTCCCTCCCTCTCTTTCCTTCCCCCTCCCTCTCTGCCCACACACACACACACACACACACACCTCACCCGCTCTCTCCCTCACCCGCTCTCTCCCTCACCCGCTCTCTCCCTCACCCGCTCTCTCCCTCACCCACTCTCTCCCTCTCCTCTCTCTCCCTCCCGCCTCTCTCTCCATCTCCTCCCCCCCCCTCCCCTTCTACTTTCTTCTCACTTCAGTGGAAGGGTCGGATCCCCCCCACCCACCCATTTATCTCTCCCTTTATCACTCCCTTTCTCTCTCTCTCTTTCTCTCTCTCTTCCTCTCTCTCTCTCTCTCCCTCCCCCATCCCAACAGGGTCAAGCATGGCAGCCAGAGGTCCCAGGGGAACAGGAAAGAGCCAAGGTGACGAGATGAAGGAAATGTTCGCCCAGTTTCTGGAGGACATCAAGAGTGAGATGCAAGAAATGATGCAGGAAATGAAGAACGAAATAAGCAACCTGAAAAGAGAGCTGACAGCAGCAAAGGAGGAGATTAGAGCCCTCAAAGAAAATGGTATCGAGGCTGGGAATCAGAAAACCACCCAGGGAGAAGGTGGTAATAGTTTTCTGGATGAGAATGCCACAATAAAAGCAACATTTGCGGAAATACTAAAAAAAATAACTCTGAAGTAATGACTGCAGTGATGGAGGTGGCCATGAAAGCAGCCACCTCGCAGGAGGCGGCACGCTCCACTAGCCAACTGCTGGAAAGGAACAGATCAGTGGTTGCTGTGGGTATTAAGGAGCAGGAAGGATCTAATAGGACAGAGTGGAGTGACAAGGACAAAGAAGCAGTGAATGAAGTACTAAAGGCACTAGACATGGAAGGGGCTGAGCATAGCATTGAGAAGGTTTTCAGGCTAGGCCGGTACAACAAAGACCGAGACCGAATGATAAAGATAGTGTTTGCAAACGAGAACACAAAGGAGAAGATCCTATCAAGGAAGAGCTCCCTGAAAAACGTGGGAAAATTAAAAAATGTATTCCTCCAGAGAGACATGACAAGGGAGGAGAGAGCCGTGGCGGCAGAAGCAAGGAAGAGGCGCAGGGCGAGAGGGGAAAACCAGGAAGTAACAGCTCCCAACCCAACACCCCCAGAGGCGAGGGGGGAACCCACAACCAGCTACCCAGTAACACCAGAAGGGAGGACAACCCCGCCTCCCTCCACTGCATAGAAAACCCCCCTACCCCAAACCCTCCCTGCCCCCACTCAAATGTTCAGCAAAATCTCCCTCCCCCCACACCCAATCCCCACCCTTCTACCCCTCCCCTCCTCCCGAGTCCTCCCTCCCCCCCTTTCCTTCCCGTCCTCCCTCCCCTTTCACCCCATACCCTCCCTGTCCCTCCCCCTTCACTGGATCCCCCGCCCCTCATCCCAGTATCCTCTGAGACCCTGTTATCCACCTCACAGGTCCTCACACCCATGGAACAGCCTCCCCCACCAGCAGAACACTCACCAAGGAGGCGATTTGAGAAGGGACAGAAGAAAGTGAGCCTCAAAGCGATGTACACAAACATAGATGGAATTACAAATAAAGCAAATGAGCTTGGAGAACTGGTACTAGAGGAAAACCCAGACATAATAGCCCTCACAGAAACAAAGATCACGAAAACGATAACAAATGCAGTGTTCCCACAGGACTATTATGTTATGAGGAAAGAGAGGGAAGGAAGAGGTGGGGGTGGTGTAGCTCTGCTGGTAAGACAAGGCTGGGATTTTGAGGAGATGGATATTCAGGGCTGCGAAGGTTTCAGTGACTACATAGCAGGTACTGTAACAAATGGAGGGAAAAAAATTATAGTCGCAGTCATATATAATCCACCACCAAATGACAGAAGACCTAGACAGGAATATGATAGAAACAACATGGCCACCATTAACATAATAGAAAGAGCAGCTTCTGTTGCTAGCAGGAATGGATCTGGACTACTAATTATGGGAGACTTCAACCATGGGAAGATAGATTGGAAGAACAGAGACCCGCATGGAGGACCAGAAACATGGAGAGCTAAGCTGCTGGACGTGGCAACAAGAAACTTTCTAAGCCAGCACACCAAAGAACCAACAAGAATGAGAGGAGAAGATGAACCAGCAATGCTTGATTTGATATTTACCCTAAATGAATGGGATATAAGGGAAGTTAAGATGGAAGCGCCCTTGGGAATGAGTGATCACAGTGTATTGAACTTTGAGTACCTGGTAGAGCTAGGACTTATCTCCCCCCAAAAAGAACTAGGAATCAAAAGGCTGGCATACCGAAAGGGGAATTATGAACAGATGAGAAGTTTCCTAAGTGAAATACCTTGGGACACAGACCTCAGAGATAAGTCTGTACAGGGTATGATGGACTATGTTACCCAAAAGTGTCAGGAGGCAGTAAACAGGTTCATCCCGGCCCAAAGGGAAAAATCCGAGAAGCAACAGAAGAATCCATGGTATAATAGGGCATGTATGGAAGCGAAGAAACTGAACAAAAAGGCGTGGAGGAACTTCCGGAATAACAGAACACCAGAAAGCAGAGAGAGATACCAGAGAACCAGGAATGAGTACGTCAGGGTGAGAAGAGAAGCAGAGAAAAATTTTGAAAATGATATAGCAAACAAAGCCAAGACCGAACCAAAGCTACTCCACAGTCACATCAGAAGGAAAACAACAGTGAAAGAACAGGTATTGAAACTTAGAACAGGCGAGGACAGGTATACAGAGAATGACAGAGAGGTGTGTGAGGAACTTAACAAGAGGTTCCAGGAGGTCTTCACAATAGAACAGGGTGAGGTCACTGTGCTAGGAGAAAGGGAGGTAAACCAGGCGGCCTTGGAGGAGTTCGAAATTACGAGAGAGGAGGTCAAGAGACACCTGCTGGATCTGGATGTTAGAAAGGCTGTTGGTCCAGATGGGATCTCACCATGGGTACTGAAAGAGTGTGCAGAGGCACTTTGCCTGCCACTCTCCATAGTGTATAGTAAGTCACTAGAGACGGGAGACCTACCAGAAATATGGAAGACGGCGAATGTGGTCCCAATATACAAAAAGGGCGACAGACAAGAGGCACTGAACTACAGGCCAGTGTCCTTGACTTGTATACCATGCAAGGTGATGGAGAAGATCGTGAGAAAAAACCTGGTAACACATCTGGAGAGAAGGGACTTCGTGACAAATCGCCAACATGGATTCAGGGAGGGTAAATCTTGCCTTACAGGCTTGATAGAATTCTACGATCAGGTGACACAGATTAAGCAAGAAAGAGAGGGCTGGGCGGACTGCATTTTCTTGGATTGTCGGAAAGCCTTTGACACAGTACCGCATAAGAGGCTGGTACATAAGCTGGAGAGACAGGCAGGTGTAGCTGGTAAGGTGCTCCAGTGGATAAGGGAGTATCTAAGCAATAGGAAGCAGAGAGTTACGGTGAGGGGTGAGACCTCCGATTGGCGTGAAGTCACCAGTGGAGTCCCACAGGGCTCTGTACTCGGTCCTATCTTGTTTCTGATATATGTAAATGATCTCCCGGAGGGTATCGATTCATTTCTCTCAATGTTTGCGGACGATGCTAAAATTATGAGAAGGATTAAAACAGAAGAGGACTGTTTGAGGCTTCAAGAAGACCTAGACAAGCTGAAGGAATGGTCGAACAAATGGTTGTTAGAGTTTAACCCAACCAAATGTAATGTAATGAAGATAGGTGTAGGGAGCAGGAGGCCAGATACAAGGTATCATCTGGGAGAGGAAATTCTTCAGGAGTCAGAGAAGGAAAAAGACTTGGGGGTTGATATCACGCCAGACCTGTCTCCTGCAGCACATATCAAGCGGATAACATCAGCGGCATATGCCAGGCTGGCCAACATACGAACGGCATTCAGAAACTTGTGTAAAGAATCATTCAGAACTTTGTATACCACATATGTCAGGCCAATCCTGGAGTATGCAGCCCCAGCATGGAGTCCATATCTAGTCAAGGATAAGACTAAACTGGAAAAGGTTCAAAGGTTTGCCACCAGACTAGTACCCGAGCTGAGAGGTATGAGCTACGAGGAGAGACTACGGAAATTAAACCTCACTTCGCTGGAAGACAGAAGAGTTAGGGGGGACATGATCACCACATTCAAGATTCTGAAGGGGATTGATAGGGTAGATAAAGACAGTCTATTTAACACAAGGGGAACACGCACAAGGGGACACAGGTGGAAACTGAGTGCCCAAATGAGCCACAGAGATATTAGAAAGAACTTTTTTAGTGTCAGAGTGGTTGACAAATGGAATGCATTAGGAAGTGATGTGGTGGAGGCTGACTCCATACACAGTTTCAAGTGTAGATATGCCAGAGCCCGATAGGCTCATGAATCTGTACACCTGTTGATTGACGGTTGAGAGGCGGGACCAAAGAGCCAGAGCTCAACCCCCGCAAACACAACTAGGTGAGTACAACTAGGTGAGCACACACACACACACACACACACACACACACACACACACACACACACACACACACACACACACACACACACACACACACACACACACACACACCTGGACACTGCGGAAAGCACAGGTGTGTGAGTCATTATGAGAGAGTACACAGGTGTGTGAGTCATTATGAGGGAGTACACAGGTGTGTGAGTCATTATGAGGGAGTACACAGGTGTGTGAGTCACTATGAGGGAGTACACAGGTGTGTGAGTCATTATGAGGGAGTACACAGGTGTGTGAGTCACTATGAGGGAGTACAGGTGTGTGAGTCACTATGAGGGAGTACACAGGTGTGTGAGTCATGATGAGGGAGTACAGGTGTGTGAGTCATGATGAGGGAGTACAGGTGTGTGAGTCACTATGAGGGAGTACAGGTGTGTGAGTCATTATGAGGGAGCACAGGTGTGTGAGTCATTATGAGGGAGTACACAGGTGTGTGAGTCATTATGAGGGAGCACAGGTGTGTGAGTCATTATGAGGGAGTACAGGTGTGTGAGTCACTATGAGGGAGTACACAGGTGTGTGAGTCATGACGAGGGAGTACAGGTGTGTGAGTCACTATAAGGGAGTACAGGTGTGTGAGTCACTATGAAGGAGTACAGCTGTGTGAGTCAATATGAAGGAGCACAGGTGTGTGAGTCATGATGAGGGAGTACAGGTGTGAGTCATTATGAGGGCGTACAGGTGTGTGAGTCACTATGAGGGAGAACACAGGTGTGTGAGTCATTATGAGGGAGAACACAGGTGTGGGGGTCATTATGAGGAGATAACAGGTGTGTGAGTCACTATGAGGAGAGCACAGGTGTGCGAGTCATTATGAGGGAGCACAAGTGTGGGGGTCATTATGAGGAGATAACAGGTGTGTGAGTCACTATGAGGAGAGCACAGGTGTGTGAGTCACTATGAGGGAGCACAGGTGTGTGAGTCATTATGAGGGAGCACAGGTGTGGGGGTCATTATGAGGGAGCACAGGTGTGTGAGTCACTATGAGGAGAGCACAGGTGTGTGAGTCATTATGAGGGAGTACAGGTGTGTGTGTCATTATGAGGGAGTACAGCTGTGTGAGTCATTATGAAGGAGCACAGGTGTGTGAGTCATGATGAGGGAGTACAGGTGTGAGTCATTATGAGGGGGTACAGGTGTGTGAGTCACTATGAGGGAGAACACAGGTGTGTGAGTCATTATGAGGGAGAACACAGGTGTGGGGGTCATTATGAGGAGATAACAGGTGTGTGAGTCACTATGAGGAGAGCACAGGTGTGAGTCATTATGAGGGAGCACAAGTGTGGGGGTCATTATGAGGAGATAACAGGCGTGTGAGTCACTATGAGGAGAGCACAGGTGTGTGAGTCACTATGAGGGAGCACAGGTGTGTGAATCATTATGAGGGAGCACAGGTGTGGGGGTAATTATGAGGGAGTACAGGTATGTGAGTCATTATGAGGGAGCACAGGTGTGGGGGTCATTATGAGGGAGCACAGGTGTGTGAGTCACTATGAGGAGAGCACAGGTGTGTGAGTCATTATGAGGGAGTACAGGTGTGTGTGTCATTATGAGGGAGTACAGGTGTGTGAGTCATTATGAGGGAGTACACAGGTGTGCGAGTCATTATGAAGGAGCACAGGTGTGTGAGTCATTATGAGGGAGCACAGGTGTGTGAGTCATTATGAGGAGAGCACAGGTGTGTGAGTCATTATGAGGAGAGCACAGGTGTGTGAGTCATTATGAGGAGAGCACAGGTGTGTGAGTCATTATGAGGAGAGCACAGGTGTGTGAGTCATTATGAGGAGAGCACAGGTGTGTGAGTCATTATGAGGAGAGAACAGGTGTGTGAGTCATTATGAAGGTGAACACAGGTGCGTGAGTCATTATGAAGGTGAACACAGGTGTGTGAGTCATTATGAGGGAGCACAGGTGTGTGTGTCATTATGAAGGTGAGCACAGGTGTGTGAGTCATTATGAGGGAGCACAGGTGTGCGAGTCATTATGAGGGAGCACAGGTGTGTGAGTCATTATGAAGGTGAACACAGGTGTGTGAGTCACTATGAGGGAGTACAGGTGTGCGAGTCATTATGAGGGAGCACAGGTGTGTGAGTCATTATGAGGGAGCTCAGGTGTGCGAGTCATTATGAGGGAGCACAGGTGTGTGAGTCATTATGAGGGAGCACAGGTGTGTGAGTCATTATGAGGGAGCACACAGGTGTGTGAGTCACTATGAGGGTGAACACAGGTGTGTGAGTCATTATGAGGGAGCACACAGGTATGTGAGTCATTATGAGGGAGCACACAGGTGTGTGAGTCACTATGAGGGTGAACACAGGTGTGTGAGTCATTATGAGGGAGCACACAGGTGTGTGAGTCACTATGAGGGTGAACACAGGTGTGTGAGTCATTATGAGGGAGTACACAGGTGTGTGAGTCAATATGAGGGAGTACACAGGTGTGTGAGTCACTATGAGGGAGTACACAGGTGTGTGAGTCACTATGAGGGAGTACACAGGTGTGTGAGTCACTATGAGGGAGTACACAGGTGTGTGAGTCACTATGAGGGAGTACACAGGTGTGTGAGTCACTATGAGGGAGTACACAGGTGTGTGAGTCACTATGAGGGAGTACACAGGTGTGTGAGTCACTATGAGGGAGTACACAGGTGTGTGAGTCACTATAAGGGAGTACACAGGTGTGTGAGTCACTATGAGGGAGTACACAGGTGTGTGAGTCACTATAAGGGAGTGCACAGGTGTGTGAGTCATTATGAGGGAGTACACAGGTGTGTGAGTCATTATGAGGGAGCACACAGGTGTGTGAGTCATTATGAGGGAGTACACAGGTGTGTGAGTCATTATGAGGGAGTACACAGGTGTGTGAGTCACTATGAGGGAGCACACAGGTGTGTGTGTCATTATGAGGGAGCACACAGGTGTGTGAGTCACTATGAGGGAGTACACAGGTGTGTGAGTCATTATGATGGAGTACACAGGTGTGTGAGTCACTATGAGGGAGTACACAGGTGTCTACATCTTTATGAGAGAACATAATTGTCGTTTCTTTACTTCGTATAAATTTCCAGAAGATATAAACATTGCCTCTTGAGAAAACACTAAATCGCTTGAAGATGACATAGACAGGCTTTGAAAATGGACCAAAGATTGTCAGATGCACTTTAATACTGAAAAATATATGGCTCTGAGCTTAGATAATAAATATAATAGTGCCCATATATCAGCTGGACTATGTCGACGTTACGAAATCTAATTGTGAAAAAGATCTAAAAATCAGGATTTGAAGGTAAATAAGCAAAAAAAATAATGCATATGTCATGAAGTAAATAGGATACTGCATAGGATAATAGAATAAGTAAATATAGGATAGGTAAATAGGATGAAAGAAGGTGGTACAATAAAGATGAAGTGTAGTGAAAGTGTACTTTTGAACTATATCTAGGACGAAATTATTCTTGCAAGGTGGTCAGTAAGCACTTTTGTGACCTAAAGAACCCACCATTGGTCCAACACCTTGTTGAGATATCTTTATATCATAGAAGAGCACGATATCTTTATATCATAGAAGAGCACGATATCTTTATATCGTGCTCTTCTACTTCAGTCATTGTGCTGTAGAACTTACGATCTCTCGAGAAAGACGACGAGAAAGGCGGAACATGACTGAAATATACAAATGGATGAATGGATATAACAAGGGGAATGTTAATAGGGAACTTAACATATAATTGCAAAATAGAAACGATTTTGCAATTGAAACGATAGATACAAATTTAATAAATTTAGATTTAGGAAAGACCAAGGTAAATACTGGTTTGAAAATTGGGTTGTTGATTTACGGATTAAACTATTATTATGTTTTGTGTGTTTGGGTTTTGTGTGTTTGGGTTTTGTGTGTTTGGGTTTTGTGTGTTTGGGTTTTGTGTGTCTGGGTTTTGTGTGTTTGGGTTTTGTGTGTTTGGGTTTTGTGTGTTTGGGTTTTGTGTGTCTGGGTTTTGTGTGTTTGGGTTTTGTGTGTTTGGGTTTTGTGTGTTTGGGTTTTGTGTGTTTGGGTTTTGTGTGTTTGGGTTTTGTGTGTTTGGGTTTTGTGTGTTTGGGTTTTGCGTGTTTGGGTTTTGCGTGTTTGGGTTTTGCGTGTTTGGGTTTTGCGTGTTTGGGTTTTGCGTATCTGGGTATAAATAGGAGCTGCCAAGCATGACCAATAGACCTTCATAGATTGTCATTATTTTTATGTTAGTTCCCGTCCCGTAGCTCTGTGGCACTCATTCCTGGCCCTGTGCCACCCGTCTCGTAGCTCTGTGGCACTCATTCCTTGCCCTGTGCCACCCGTCTCGTAGCTCTGTGGCACTCATTCCTTGCCCTGTGCCACCCGTCCCGTAGTTCTGTGGCACTCATTCCTTGCCCTGTGCCATCCGCCCCGTAGCTCTGTGGCACTCATTCCTTGCCCTGTGCCACCCGTCTCGTAGCTCTGTGGCACTCATTCCTTGCCCTGTGCCACCCGTCCCGTAGCTCTGTGGCACTCATTCCTTGCCCTGTGCCACCCGTCCCGTAGCTCTGTGGCACTCATTCCTTGCCCTGTGCCACCCGTCTCGTAGCTCTGTGGCACTCATTCCTGGCCCTGTGCCACCCGTCCCGTAGCTCTGTGGCACTCATTCCTGGCCCTGTGCCACCCGTCCCGTAGCTCTGTGGCACTCATTCCTTGCCCTGTGCCACCCGTCCCGTAGCTCTGTGGCACTCATTCCTTGCCCTGTGCCACCCGTCTCGTAGCTCTGTGGCACTCATTCCTTGACCTGTGCCACCCGTCCCGTAGCTCTGTGGCACTCATTCCTTGCCCTGTGCCACCCGTCCCGTAGCTCTGTGGCACTCATTCCTTGCCCTGTGCCACCCGTCCCGTAGCTCTGTGGCACTCATTCCTTGCCCTGTGCCACCCATCCCGTAGCTCTGTGGCACTCATTCCTTGACCTGTGCCACCCGTCCCGTACCTCTGTGGCACTCATTCCTTGCCCTGTGCCACCCGTCCCGTAGCTCTGTGGCACTCATTCCTTGCCCTGTGCCACCCGTCCCGTAGCTCTGTGGCACTCATTCCTTGCCCTGTGCCACCCGTCCCGTAGCTCTGTGGCACTCATTCCTTGCCCTGTGCCACCCGTCTCGTAGCTCTGTGGCACTCATTCCTTGACCTGTGCCACCCGTCCCGTAGCTCTGTGGCACTCATTCCTTGACCTGTGCCACCCGTCCCGTAGCTCTGTGGCACTCATTCCTGGCCCTGTGCCACCCGTCTCTCCTCTGTGAAATTCCCGTGTTCCTGTTAGTGTCCCGTGTACTCGTGCTCATGTGCTTCCTTGCAGCCTTGAGGAGCACAAAGGTTAGACCCACGTGTTATTGTCCGACCTTTGTACAGGGACAGTTTTAGCATCCAAACTTTTGTGGTTGAAGAACTCCACCATTGTCTGTGTTGCTTCTACTTTGTGTTCTGTTTCCCATGATTTCCTTGACATAAATTCAAATATTTTCTTATTTCACTTCGAGATGCCAGCCTGCTAATCATACTCTGAGCAGGTCATCCGTGCTTCCATGAGATACTTACATGAGAGGACAGAGGGAAGACTGCAGAGTTAATTTTCCTAATATCCGACACATTTAGACTGGATATTAGGTCAAGAAGAAGGCGGGAAACTGTCGGGTAAGGGGACTGAACATGTGTTACAGCTGCGTGAGGTGAAGGGGTAAGGTTGGGGGACACGGGTCAGGAGAGGCCAGAGGGAAGGTGAAAGGTGTGGGTGTGGGATGGACGGGAGGTGAGGATAGGAGGTGATTTATACTTCTGTTATGGTTGGCCTCAAGGGGTGTTGAACTGGAGGAAGCGGGTTCTCCATTTTACTCTAATTCCATTTCACCTGCTCCACTTCTCTGTGGGTGTAGCTTTCTCTTCCTCTGTCACTTCTATATTGAGGAATACATCATGGTAACCTGACACTGCTGAAATTTATTCTTCCATAACATTTAATTTTTTGTTGTCATGTCTCTTAATATTATTTTTACTAGACAAACTCTTTCCCCACTTGTTCTGGCCTAAATATCTTTTTCTGTCACTCATTTTTTTACTTCTGCTTCCCGCAGCTTTCCAGCTCCTTCAAACCCATAACGTTAAATATTCACTTCTTTCTAGCAACTGCCTGGTGCTCCTTGCTGCTCCTTGCGAAGTTACTGACTACGCTGCTACTTCAGCAGCAATATAGCCAGTAACACGGAACCTCGATGGCTTTTACTAATGTCTGCAAATACGATCTTCCCAAAATAAGGTCCGTCCACTCTTTGATTGACCTTACTCTTAACTTGATTGTTCCATTTACGGTATATGAACTGGCTTTTATTTTGAGGATACTAATTACCCCATTGGCTTACTTCAGCTCTGAAGCTGAGAGTGAGTGACTGAACGAGCGAGTGTAACAGTTCATGAAAGGGTGAGAGAGAGAGAGAGAGAGAGAGAGAGAGAGAGAGAGAGAGAGAGAGAGAGAGAGAGAGAGAGAGAGAGAGAGAGAGAGAGAGAGAGAGAGAGTGTGAGTGAGTGAGTGAGTGAGTGAGTGAGTGAGTGAGTGAGTGAGTGAGTGAGTGAGTGAGTGAGTGAGTGAGTGAGTGAGTGAGTACACACCTGTGATGAAGACCTCCCTGGAGACGTGACTAAAGGCCAAGCCGATGGGACAGAGGAACTGGCCGTCGGCGTGGCCTCGGGACCCGAAACTCGACACCTGTCGCCCGTTGGTGTCGAACACATACACCCTGTCGACACAAGACACTATTTATACTGTCAACATCAATACTCTTGTTATACTGTCGACACAAGACTTGTTACACTGTCGACACAAGACTTGTTACACTGTCGACACAAGACTTGTTATACTGTCGACACAAGACTTGTTACACTGTCGACACAAGACTTGTTACACTGTCGACACAAGACTTGTTATACTGTCGACACAAGACTTGTTACACTGTCGACACAAGACTTGTTACACTGTCGACACAAGACTTGTTATACTGTCGACACAAGACTTATGTTATACTGTCGTCACCAAGACTCATCATAAAATCCTAAGGAGCCGTGTTGAGGTTTCGAACCTATGCACTGGGTATTCCCAGGCACACGCCCCAGACAACCAGGCCACGACATGGTCAAAAGGATTGCAACCTAGGAATGTTTTCCCTAGATAGGAATGTTTCCTAGATAACAGAAGCCAGGGGTGCATGAGGGGGGGGGATTGTGTGTGACACCTGGTCCGGTTCCAGTTTGAAGCCTCATGAATCCTCGTGTGTTCAGTAGAACTCCAGGTTGTAATCCTTTTGACCATGTAGTGGCGGTGGACGTATCAAAGGGTTGCCCCCTGGTACCTGCAGGTGTCGCTGCCGGTGACGTAGATGTCTGACGTCCAGGGGTTGACAGCGACGCCGGCGGGCCGCTCCCCGAGGTGCTGGCCCCAGCGCTGCCTGGCCAGGGACCCCTTGCTCCTGAGGACAACACCCAGCAGTTACACACAACTTCCCAAGCACAAGTCTCTAAGCTCTTTCACCACAATATCCGGTTAAACAGCGCTCTTTCACCACAATATCCGGCTAAACAATGCTCTTTCACCACAATATCCGGCTAAACAGCGCTCTTTCTGCACAATATCTGGCTAAACAAAGCTCTTTCTGCACAATATCCGGCTAAACAGCGCTCTTTCAGCATAATACCCGGCTAAACAACGCTCTTTAAGCACGATATCCGGCTAAACAGCGCTCTTTCAGCATAATACCCGGCTAATCAAAGCCAGATGTTGTCATCACGTCATCAGGGCTGTACCAACAAGTGCTCATCAACTCGACTCCGTCATCAACTCATATAGATGAAACAATGGGCCAATTTAATTGTGTTTACACTGACACAAAGTTATATAGAATTCAAAATTCTTAAAATTATACAAACTATAATTTAAAGGCTGTTGGTTAACCTGTATATACGCTCCTGTAATATATTGGCACCTGTAGAGGAGCTACTGGCACCTGTAGAGGAGCTACTGGCACCTGTAGAGGAGTTACTGGCACCTGTAGAGGAGCTACTGGCACCTGTAGAGCAGCTACTGGCACCTGTAGAGGAGTTACTGGCACCTGTAGAGGAGCTACTGGCACCTGTAGAGCAGCTACTGGCACCTGTAGAGGAGTTACTGGCACCTGTAGAGGAGCTACTGGCACCTGTAGAGCAGCTACTGGCACCTGTAGAGCAGCTACTGGCACCTGTAGAGGAGTTACTGGCACCTGTAGAGCAGCTACTGGCACCTGTAGAGCAGCTACTGGCACCTGTAGAGGTGCCAGTAGCTTCTGGCACCTGTAGATGAGATTCCGGTAGCTGTAGAGGAATTTCATAAACTGGTAGGTGAGTTAAACGTACCTGTAGAGGAGCTTAACGTGCCTGTAGAGGAGCTTAACGTGCCTGTAGAGGAGCTTAACGTGCCTGTAGAGGAGCTTAACGTGCCTGTAGAGGAGCTTAACGTGCCTGTAGAGGAGCTTAGGACGTGCCTGTAGAGGAGCTTAACGTGCCTGTAGAGGAGCTTAACGTGCTGTAGAGGAGCTAACGTGCCTGTAGAGGAGCTTAACGTGCCTGTAGAGGAGCTAACGTGCCTGTAGAGGAGCTTAACGTGCTTGTAGAGGAGCTTAACGTGCCTGTAGAGGAGCTTAACGTGCCTGTAGAGGAGCTTAACGTGCCTGTAGAGGAGCTTAACGTGCCTGTAGAGGAGCTTAACGTGCCTGTAGAGGAGCTTAACGTACCTGTAGAGGAGGTTAACGTGCCTGTAGAGGAGCTTAACGTACCTGTAGAGGAGCTAACGTACCTGTAGAGGAGCTTAACGTACCTGTAGAGGAGCTTAACGTGCCTGTAGAGGAGCTTAACGTGCCTGTAGAGGAGCTTAACGTGCCTGTAGAGGAGCTTAACGTGCCTGTAGAGGAGCTTAACGTGCCTGTAGAGGAGCTTAACGTGCCTGTAGAGGAGCTAACGTACCTGTAGAGGAGCTTAACGTGCCTGTAGAGGAGCTAACGTACCTGTAGAGGAGCTTAACGTGCCTGTAGAGGAGTTTAACGTGCCTGTAGAGGAGCTTAACGTGCCTGTAGAGGAGCTTAACGTGCCTGTAGAGGAGCTTAACGTGCCTGTAGAGGAGCTTAACGTGCCTGTAGAGGAGCTTAACGTGCCTGTAGAGGAGCTTAACGTGCCTGTAGAGGAGCTTAACGTGCCTGTAGAGGAGCTTAACTTGCCTGTAGAGGAGCTTAACGTGCCTGTAGAGGAGCTTAGCGTGCCTGTAGAGGAGCTTAACGTGCCTGTAGAGGAGCTTAACGTACCTGTAGAGGAGCTTAAGGTACCTGTAGAGGAGCTTAAGGTGCCTGTAGAGGAGCTTAACGTACCTGTAGAGGAGCTTAACGTGCCTGTAGAGGAGCTTAACGTGCCTGTAGAGGAGGTTAACGTGCCTGTAGAGGAGCTTAACGTGCCTGTAGAGGAGCTTAACTTGCCTGTAGAGGAGCTACTGGCACCTGTAGAGGAGCTACACGTACCTATAGAGGAGCTACTGGCACCTGTAGAGGAGCTACACGTACCTATAGAGGAGGCTGTGGTCCTGCGGCTGAAGATGCTGCTCGTCGTCCTCCTCGTCCTTGCCCTCGAGGTCCTCCTCGACCGCCGCCGAGGACGGGGCCCCGCTGAGGGTGAGGGTGGTCTGGTCGAGTGTGACTCGGGGACCCTTGGCCCTGGAGGTGGCCCTGAGGAGCCCCAGCAGGGTGGAGTGGAGACGGCCCGCCTCCTCCAGCTGTAACACAACTTCTCTCTTAGGTCAGGTCCCTCTTACTCTCACCCTTACCCACAGTCTTACCTTAGTTACAACGGTCTTACCCTAGTTACAACGGTCTTACCCTGGTTACAACGGTCTTACCCTAGTTACAACGGTCTTACCCTGGTTACAACGGTCTTACCCTAGTTACAACGGTCTTACCCTGGTTACAACGGTCTTACCCTAGTTACAACGGTCTTACCCTAGTTACAACGGTCTTACCCTAGTTACAACGGTCTTACCCTGGTTACAACGGTCTTACCCTAGTTACAACGGTCTTACCCTGGTTACAACGGTCTTACCCTAGTTACAACGGTCTTACCCTAGTTACATCGGTCTTAGCCTAGTTACAACGGTCTTACCCTAGTTACAACGGTCTTACCCTAGTTACAACGGTCTTACCCTAGTTACAACGGTCTTACCTTAGTTACATCGGTCTTACCCTAGTTACAACGGTCTTACCCTAGTTACAACGGTCTTACCCTGGTTACAACGGTCTTACCCTAGTTACAACGGTCTTACCCTAGTTACAACGGTCTTACCCTGGTTACAACGGTCTTACCCTAGTTACAACGGTCTTACCCTAGTTACAACGGTCTTACCCTAGTTACAACGGTCTTACCCTAGTTACAACGGTCTTACCCTAGTTACAACGGTCTTACCCTAGTTACAACGGTCTTACCCTAGTTACAACGGTCTTACCCTAGTTACAACGGTCTTACCCTAGTTACAACGGTCTTACTCTAGTTACAACGGTCTACCCTAGTTACAACCCTAGTTACGGTCTTACCCTAGTTACATCGGTCTTACCCTAGTTACATCGGTCTTACCCTAGTTACAACGGTCTTACCCTAGTTACATCGGTCTTACCCTAGTTACAACGGTCTTACCCTAGTTACAACGGTCTTACCCTAGTTACAACGGTCTTACCTTAGTTACATCGGTCTTACCCTAGTTACAACGGTCTTACCCTAGTTACAACGGTCTTACCCTAGTTACATCGGTCTTACCCTAGTTACAACGGTCTTAAACTAGTTACATCGGTCTTACCCTAGTTACAACGGTCTTACCCTAGTTACAACGGTCTTACCCTAGTTACAACGGTCTTACCCTAGTTACAACGGACTTACCTTAGTTACATCGGTCTTACCCTAGTTACAACGGTCTTACCCTAGTTACAACGGTCTTACCCTAGTTACATCGGTCTTACCCTAGTTACAACGGTCTTACCCTAGTTACAACGGTCTTACCCTAGTTACAACGGTCTTACTCTAGTTACAACGGTCTTACCCTAGTTACAACGGTCTTACCCTAGTTACAACGGTCTTACCCTAGTTACAACGGTCTTACCCTAGTTACAACGGTCTTACCCTAGTTACATCGGTCTTACCCTAGTTACAACGGTCTTACCCTAGTTACAACGGTCTTACCCTAGTTACAACGGTCTTACCCTAGTTACAACGGTCTTACCCTAGTTACAACGGTCTTACCCTAGTTACAACGGTCTTACCCTAGTTACAACGGTCTTACCCTAGTTACAACGGTCTTACCCTAGTTACAACGGTCTTACCCTAGTTACAACGGTCTTACCCTAGTTACAACGGTCTTACCCTAGTTACAACGGTCTTACCCTAGTTACAACGGTCTTACCCTAGTTACAACGGTCTTACCCTAGTTACAACGGTCTTACCCTAGTTACAACGGTCTTACCCTAGTTACAACGGTCTTACCCTAGTTACAACGGTCTTACCCTAGTTACAACGGTCTTACCCTAGTTACAACGGTCCCTAGTTACAACGGTCTTACCCTAGTTACAACGGTCTTACCCTAGTTACAACGGTCTTACCCTAGTTACAACGGTCTTACCCTAGTTACAACGGTCTTACCCTAGTTACAACGGTCTTACCCTTACCCTAGTTACAACGGTCTTACCCTAGTTACAACGGTCTTACCCTAGTTACA